TATGCTATATGCAGCCTTAGATCATGAGGCGGGCAAGGAGAAGCCAATTCTGTAATAAACTGAGTGGAAATATTAAAACATCCATGATCAATAAACTTGGGGAGTTAAACATAGAAAATAGAATTCTACATGTAAACTATTTGGGGGATTTAAGTTGGCTACTCCAGGGCTGTACTATTAATGGTTTCAAACCATGAAGGTAGCTTCAAGTGCACAAGGCCCATGGCGTGAATCTAGCACATTCTCTTCTCGAGGATTTTGCAGCGAGCAACATGGTAACAGCTGTCAATTACAGATCCATATAACTGGGAGAATTCAGCAATGATAGTAAAGAGAAAATGAGGCCACATTCTCTTGTTTTCAAAACCAGGTGGCATCCGAGGGAAGTGGCATATGCCTGTAATCCCAGCAGCTTGGAAGGCTAAGGCAGGAAGATTGCAAGTTCAAAGCCAGCCTCAGCAAAAGTGAGGCACTCAGCAATTCAGTTGATGTATAGCTGGCATATTTAGAGACCCTGTCTGTAAATAAAATACAAAATAGGGCTAGGGATGTGGCTCATTGTCAAGTGCCCCTGAGTTCAATCCCTGGTACCAAACAAAAAAACAAAAAAAAAAAAAAAAAAAAAAAAAGAAAGAAAACCAAAAAACCAACCAAACAAAAAAACCCAGGTGGCATAGGCCCTCGAAGAAAACTGATAACTCAAGCTGATGGCTGTGCTGAGAAGCCCAGTTCTGCTTCTTTTTCTCAAGTGGTCACACATAGCCATCTCAACCTTCAACCAGTCCAGGACTTTTCCAGAAAACTGGCAGTAGTTTTGGAATCTAACTTCTCCTCGTTCTGCTTCTTTTATACACAGCCACTTACATTTTCACAGTCCGGTCTCTCTCCAATTCAAGGACCTAAGTGAATGAAATATTGGGAGGGAAGGCAAGAGGACAGGAGAGTGTGGAAAGGAGAGTGACCCCCCTGCCCCCCCGCCCCCCCCCCACCCCGTTCCAAAGGGTCATTTCAGCAGTGAGACTTGTCTACCTCCACCAAGTCTTTTAACAAGATTAAAATCTAGCATGTAGTTCTACTTTGGGATTCACTATCCCCTCTTTTCTCTTTCAGTGCTTCCTAGAGGTGGTCCTGGGAGCTCTGGCTATGGAGCTGTAGAGGAACCTGTATAAATGTAAATTATGGGTTTCTACTACAGAAAGATATTCTGGGGCCAGGGGAGAGTCTACATTCTAACAGGTTCCTGGTAATTATTATGTGCACTGAATTTGGGAACCCCCCTCTGTCCAGTTGTTAAAAGTCCAGAAGTTTAAAGAAAAGTACTCTGCCTGTTGGAGTTCCATGCAGAGCACTTCAAGTGTTTTTTGGTTTCTGGAGAGCAGTGCTCTTATTTCTCATCTCACTTCCTTATACTTATCACTGTATTATCCAGAAAATATTTATGGCATTGAAGGGAATAATGCCCTGGAGCCCTCCGCAGCCTCCCAGGTTCTACTCCTGCTCCTCTACAATCCCCCTGCCTAACATCCTCCAAAATTTTCCCTTGGAACTCAGACTAAAACCCCAACTCCTTCTCTGGGACTCTGGTTAGCCTCACGCCTCATCCCATCCCACATTCCAGCCAGATGACCTTCTTTTAAGGCTCCTTCAACACACAAAACTCTTTTCCCTGTAGGGTTTTTGCATTGCTTTTTCCTCGTCCAGGCAGGCTCTTCTTCCTGACATCACATTCTGGAAACTGGTCATCATTCAGAACTTGATTTACATGTAATCTTCACAAAGTACCTGTCTAAAGTGGTCACCAAGTTATACCCTTTCTGTTTTAATTTTCTCCCCAAACACTGGTAGATGGTATTTTCTGGCTTATTTTTCTGTGTTTGTTGTCTTGCTCCATTAACAAATCAATTCATTGACTATTTATGATCTATTTGACTCCCAAGCACTGGGGATACAGCAATGAAGAAAGTCTCTGTCCTCGTGGACAGGCAATCAGCAAATACATTATACATTAGATGATGATAAATTCTAGTAATAAAGTAGCAGAGTTGAAGGGATAAAGAGTGATGAGGGGTGTGCTTTTTGATAGAATGATTAGGGAAGCTCTCTCTGATGGGTTATTTGAGCAGAACTTGAAATGCATGCCAACTACCAGAAAACCCTCGCTCCTGCTTCACTCACCACAGGGTTCCCAGTGAGTTGATGTATAGCTGGCATATAGGAGGAAGATTAATACATACTTATGGAATAAATAATTATGCGTGCCTCTCGCTCAGCACTTCTAATACAGCCTTTGTTTTTTTGGCTTTCCAACTAGATGTTGAATTTCATCAATAGGGAATTAGTCTTCTTTTCCTCTATCCTCAGAATCAAACATAGGTTCTGATATTGGAATGTTTGTGGAATAAAGGAAGAAGAAAGTGGGGATTATGATGAAACAGCCTGTCATGATACACTCAGGGATACTCAGGAAACCACTGCTTGAGAAGTTGACATATGCTTCTGAGCATCATGTGAACTTCATTTCAACTAGTAAATTTTATATATATATACACACACACACACACACACAGTTGTATCTAAATTGTTAGTGATCCTTTAGTAAAACCAATTTCTTTTAAATGAAACTTTGGCATATTTCAAGTTGGAGAAATGATAGAATTCTCTTAATCACTTGCCTTCTACCTTAAACTGTTCCTGTTAGTCCAGGCTACTTATAGTCTACCTTAATAAAGTACAAAGTCCTACTGACCCACAGAGAACACTAAGAAAAAATCAGGCTGAATCATACAATTGGGTATTTTGGCACTTTTCTGTTAGAAATGAATAAGTAGTTCTGAACTGCTACCAGATGCAGTAATGACAAGCAATGACACCCAACACAGAGCAGGTCACCAAGACCCCATAGCAAAGCAGTCCCAGTGGCAGCCCATGCCTCCTACACACTCTCAGCAGATTTGCTCACTCTTTTTTCTCAAACAGAACTTGGAAAAGTATATAGAAAGCCAAGCTTCATTCACATTTCTTACCAGCCAGCCACAAGTAAAAATGGAAAAAATTATAATGCTAAAGATCAGAAACAGAAATGTCTTATTTTTTTCCTAACTGCATGCAACTAATATACATTGAAAAGTGTTTTCAAGGCTTAATCTAGAAAAAGAAATCTTGATGATGTCAAAAATTATTTGTCCCTGGACCCCCGATACCTTCCCTTTATTGCTACACCAACACCCAATTAATATTCTGGGTAACTGGGGATCCAAGATGTGCCGTCTGTTGTTTTAGGTTCAACACTTTAGTATCTTTAGCAGCTGGCTGCCATGTTGCTTTTCCCAGAAAGATGATGCTGCACCTTCTCTACCTTAGGGTTAGGGTTGGACTCTCAGTGCCCATCAAAGTACAAACTAAAAGGCTAAGGCAGTGCTTTCTAAATGCTTCTGGAATTATTGGTGTTCTTGAGATTACTAAGCCAAAAAATTGTTCAGTGATCAAAGGATAAGTTTGGAAACACTGCATTCTCTATTGTCCACTTAGAAAGTCACAACACACACTGGAATGCTTTAAAAAGTTAAAAAAATGGAAAAAATCAAGATGATTTTCAGATGGGGGATAGTTAAATGTATTCAGGAACAATAATCAGTGGTTAAAAAGGTGACATAGATCTCTACTACTATTATGACATCTCCTAGACATGTGAAATAAAAACCGAGTCAAATTTCTGAACATGACTAATATCCCATTAAAAAATCCAAATCCTATGTGTGCATATACATTTTTATATAATACAATAAAATACATAAAAATTCTAAAAGGACATATATCAAATTATTAAGAGTGACTGCCCTGAGGAATAGGATTGGAGGGATGTGGGAGACTTGCTGTTTTTACTTTATAGATCTGGATATCATTTGATAGCCCTTTTATTACCTTTATAATAAAAATCAAGTGCTATATTAAAAAAAAGAAATAAAATGCAGCAGTAAATACATCTGTTTAGCTTTAACTGAGCACTTCTCAAACTCATGTCATTGTTGGACCCTTGGTTTGTGGGATACTCAGAAGCGATTTGTATAGCAAATTTTGAAGTTACTGTGTTGAAGACTCTCCCTCATTCCCATCAACATATGGATTTTAACCTTCTGTGGCTGTTTGTAAATGGGTGGAGGAGGTAGAAGGGACCTTGGAGATTGCCTGGTAGATAGTAACTACTCAGTTATAACAGCAGCTGCTTACGGTTATTATTAAGGTCTTGCAGACAGTAAAAGAAAAACAAAGTATGTAGAACATGTGGCACAGGGCTTGGCACACAGGTTCTGCTAAAAAATGTTGTTCTTATTTTTCTACTACCACTGTTGATTTTAACAATATGAATGGCCGTGGCCTAGGAAGACCAGTAAATGGTACGATGCTGCCACCCCAATAAGGACACATCAAAATGGAGACACCAAGAGATATTACAATAATTAATCACAGGTTCAACTGGGAATAAAAGCTTTCTGGAATAGATAGCCTTGTCCAGTCCAGAGAGAGGACAGGCTCACTCATGGGGAGCAGCAGGTGCTGGCTGCACACTCCCCAGCCCTATGTGACCACACATGGAGAGAGTGTCCTGGTGTTGAAACTTTTCAGTGGTTCATCTCACAGAGCAGAAACATAATAATGCCTTGGCCTGGAATGTTATCTTTCTGCCAAAAGTTCAAAGTCATCCAGAGAGTATCTCATTCATCTTTGGGATTCTCTGGGGATAGGGGTGAGTAGGCAGTGTTGCTTTTGCCTTATAAAGATAAGAACATACTGTGTAGAGAAATTAAATACCTTGTGTTTGCTCCAACAGTCCATCAGTGCTGAGAGAGGGCCTGAAACCCAGGAGGAGATTCCCAGGCCCTGTGCTCTAGCTCCACCCTTGGAAACACCTCAAAGGATGTGTGAACAGCCTGGTTTGGGCAAGATGTGGCCCCTTGCCTCCCCTCCCTTCTTCCCATCCCTTCTTCCACCAAGTAGCTCACCTGTCACTGAACTGAACCTCTTCCCCATTCCTGGCCCAGCTGATGGTAGGCCTTGGGTTGCCTATGGCCTCACAGTGTAGCAGCACACTCAGTGTCCCGCTGGCCAGCGCCACAGTCTGTCCAAGGTGAGTGACCACCTCCGAGGCGGAGAGCTGCTGGGCAGCTGAGATCTTCCGTAAGATGGTGGGCTTGCGGTGTGGCCGGCGAGAGCCGCCCCCAGCCTCCCCGGAGGAGGTCCTTAGGGAGCTGCTGAAGCCAGACACATGTTTGTGAGGAGGGATGGCCACGGGGGGAAACCTCTGCTCAGAGGGCTTGAGGAGCATGCCCTGGTGCTCAAGGTGGCTACGGAAGATGTCCTGGGCCAGCTGGGCCACCAGGTGCTTGCCGTAGAGGTCGCGCAGCTCCTCGGGCTGCTGGGAGAGGTTCCTGAGGATGTCGTCCAGGCGCTTCTGCTCAGTCACCATGGTGAAGGGCAGGTGCAGAAGGGCCTGCTCGGCGTTCGGGTCCTCCTCTGAGGACGTGTTTCTTTCCATGGAGTCCTGCACCTCCCAGGAAGTCAGGAGCTCTCCGGGCCAGCCCCCCTGCTCCAGCAGCCGGGAGACAATGTCATCGTAGCGGCTCCCTGGGTCAGCAGGGAGGCCCCGCTTCTCAGCCTTGCTGCCATTGGCGAAGATCCCGTTCTGGTGCTTATGGGTCTGCAGGGCCTCCTTGGGGCTGACCTTCCTCACTGCCAGGGCCTCCTCCTCACTCCGCAGGCTCAGGGGCCGGGCCACAAGCTTATGATTGCCTCCAATGAGCTTAATCACAAACTGCTCCCGGGCGGGTCCTGCAGAACAGGTGTAGATGCCCGCATCTGAGGGCCTGAGACGATGGATCTTCAGGTAGCCAAAAGGTGCCACTGTGATGTGAGCGGAGCTGATGAGATGCTGGCCATCTTTCTCCCAGGTGATGAGGGGCTTGCGGAACCTGCGCGTGGGGCACCGGAGCACCACAGCCGTCTTAGGAAGCAGATAAGCAAACCCACCCACGATGAAATGCAGCTTCCTCTGCCTGCGAGTCTGGATGTAAACGTTCCGCGCAGCTGCGATGTGAGGGCTGTGCTTTGTGGATGGCCGCCCAGGCCCTGGCATGAGACGGATGCCAGAGAGACCGAGGAAGAGAAGACAAGAGCAGAGAAGAACCGCAGTGAGATGCGGCCGTGAGAGGGGACAAATGGGACAAAAAGGAAAGAGCTCTTAGGCAGTGATTTTGACCAGGGCCATCATTAACAAACACCTCATGGCTTAGAGGAGAAGCTGGCTACCAGCTGTGGACCATCAAGTTACCACTACCCCCAAACAGAGAACTAATGAGAGGCTGTGGCACCCCAAGCAGCACCCTACTGGGTCTTTCTGTCCTGGAAGCTGAGGAGCAGGGTCCTAGGTAGAGCAGAGCCCTGGGGAAAAGGCAGTTCCTCTCATTAAAAGCATTTGAAAGAAGAAATCAGGATCATAAAAAGAGGCAGAGAGGATAGAGAAGGGGAATATTTTCTACTAAATGTCTACTTAAGGTCCCGCAAAGTGCCAGCGCCCTAAATTACAGTGAGGAGAGTCCAGAAGCTTTACAACTCTAGGGATTAATATTGAACAGAACAAATCTGCTCAGAGTAGTTTAAAACCCCAGAGTGGATAACATTAGACTTCATTAGTAATATGCTGCCTCTAGCTTCCAGATCTCTGTATGCCAGCGAGTGAACTTTCCCCTCTACAAACTGTTTTTCCTGTGGTGAAGAGAATTCAGCCTGGCCACATGTGATTAAGATTCCTTTTCCACCTCCAGCTGAGCTCTCCAGCCTGCAGCCCTCCAAAGGCCCTGCTGCCCAACAATCTGCCACTGGTCTGGGTTTAGGAAGGCACAGTGGCTGCTACTAAGTGGGGTTCTGTCTCCATCCCAGAGCTCTGACATACTCACTTGCACAGGTTGCCAGCATGCAGGGCCTGATGGAGGAAGAGAAAGGCAGGGGAGGGCACAGGGTGGAATTGACAACTGTGGAGACCCCGGTTTTCAGCACCTTCCGGCAAATGGCACTTCGAGTCTGGGTACCCTCCCCGCAGCTCGTGGAACACTGGTGAGGAAAGAAAGAGGCCAAATGCATAAAAATCCAGGGAACTATAGGCTAATGTTTTTTGTATGGACTCTCAAACTCACCAAAATATGAGAAAAGTGGCTTGGAAAAGCGACAGCCACTGAAAGAGAGAGAAATATTAATTATGATATAACAATGTGGAATACATGAGATCTTGTAGACACCTTCCACGCTAGTATTTTCCACTCTAAAATTTCCTACTGGTATTTTACCTGTTTTTATTTATATGACTTTAGAGGAAAGAGTATAGAGTACCATGTTCAAATCCCAGCTCAGCATTTTATTAAAAAGCAAGGGATTTAATATCTCTAAGGCGGTTTCTATTTCTTACATTTAATTTAGAAGCCTGTAAATTAAATGAGATAATATATTTAAAAATGCCATACACAAAATAATGTTAATGTTAATGTGGATCCCCTTCTTCCTTCCTTCACAGATAACTAATATTTTGATGCCTACCTCTGATGGTAATTGTTATGAAAAACCTGCTTTGTTTGAAGGAAGTGAAAGACAGTTGCTAGTTTCAAGGAGGGGTCATTCAAATGAAAGGTATGTGTGGGGGTCAAATGTATTGTTAAAAAGAAATAGCATAGTAGGGAAATACAAATCAAAATGACAATGTCATATCATTTTGTATTCACTAGTATAACCATATTAAAAAAGACAGAAAATGGTAAGTTTTGGCAAGTGGTAGGAAAATGTGAACCCTTTTCATTAGCAAACAAATGAAGTTGCTGCTGAGAATATAAGATGAAACAGCTTCCTACAGCTCCCCAAGAAAGCAGTTTAATAGTTTATTGAAAAGTTCATTTAACGTAGGACCCAGAAATTTATTCCTAGGTGTCTACCCAAGAGTAGTGAAAACATATTTTCACATAAAAACTTATGCAAATGTTCCTGTATTTGTAATGGCTCCAAAGTGAAAACAACCCAATGTCCATCAATTGGTAAATGAATAAACAAAATCTGGTACCTTTATACTATGAAATATTATTCAGTCTTAAAAAAGGAATACAGTTCTTACATGTGCTACATGTAATACATAAATTATATCTCGATAAAGTTGTCTATAGGATTAAATAGTAAAGTATTTTATAAGAATATATAATTAGAAAAACAAATGAAGTATTATAAAATTAATGCTAACAATTATCAAATGCTTATGGTCCACTAGGGATGTCCTGACCTAGAACTTGAAGATGGGTGTAACGCAACATGGATAAGCATGGGAGGCAGGGAAATTTCCAGAATAAAGGCAGAAGAATTCAGGGTAGAAGGCCAGGGCAGGCTTGGGGGCAGAACCAAACCTGTTTGAACAGAGGAGCCACCCCAAGAGCGTTGAGCAGCTTGACAGGTAGTTTAGGGCCAGACTTTGGAGACTTATTTAATTTTCAGACAGAAGGTTTGGAATTGGTCCACAGGGCAATGGGAAGCCATTGAGGAGGGGAGTGACATGATGAAAGAGGTGTTTTGAGAAGGTGAATCTGGCAACAGTGTGCAGAAGGATGGGAGGCAGGGATGTCAGTGAAGGAGTCGCACACCATCCAGGCTGAGATGATGAAGGCCTGAACTGGGGTCATGGCAGCGTGCCATGTGAACTTGAAAAATGACAGTAAAAACCAACAGAGTTACCTTATATTTTCAAGTTTTATATGCTAGCACACTGCAATGACACTAATCTGTGCAAAGTACTGCGACATAGGCCACTCAGAAAGAAATTTAAGAGGCAAAAGATGGAGAGGAGAATCAAACGTGCTGCTTTTGTTACTAACAATTGTGGATTACAGATTCCACCCATCACTTATTTTATTGTAAATGACAGTACTGAATCTAAGGGTCAGGTGGGATGGGGGAAAGGAGGTTGAATGTTTTAAAATCATGGTCTTTTTAGTGCTGCCAAGTAAAAACACAGAAAAATAGTTCACCTACAGACCAGAAGATTGCATGATGATTTGGGTCAGTCTAGTGCTTTCTCTAGCTTCAGTTTCCACATCTTTGAAATGGGGAAGCTAAGCCACAGTAGGGATTGTCAGAGAGTGTTGCATGACTACAATGAGGAAGTGATTCAGGGGATGGGGAGACCCAACCACTGGAAATCAGAAGGTTCCATGTATGCTTCATTTGAAATGGCTCTCATTCTGTCTGTTTTAGAATTTGGACTTCATAGTAACATTTCACTTGTTAAAAGGCTCCTGAGGCTTTAATTTAAAAAGAGATAGATTAGATTACAGGATCTTCCAAGTTCCTTCTCATTCTCAAATGGACTACCCTGACTTTAATTTCTTTTATTTTGGGGGATGGGGACAAGTTCCATAAAAATATGATTTAAAAATATCTAGCAGCTAACTCTTTCAGGAGATTGAAGGGTTTCTTTTAAAGAGAAGGATAGTCTTTTGAGAGGTCTTCCTTTCAGAATAGAATCTGTAAGCAATTTTTTTTTTTGAAATGTCTAAAACTTTGGCTTACTTCTGTCTCTGAGGAGTTCTATGCAGTAACCATGAGATTGAGCCCAGAGAGCTAAGGACAAAAACACCCATAGATCATCCAGTTCTCTTTTATCCAAAAGGCGATTTGTGTGTGTGTGTGTGTGTGTGTGTGTGTGTGTGTGTATGTGTGTGTGTGTAGTATGGAATGAACATCTCATCTCAGCAAGGGGACCACAGAATGGCCCTGAGGATGGCAGAGTGGGCCTTTGTGAATGCTTCCAGAAGCACATTTCCCTGGCACGACTTGAGAGTAACCCCAGTGATTTGGTGATTGCTTCCCACCATTCCAGGCCCCTCCCCAGTGTTCAGAATTTCTGCTCACCAACCCAGATAGCACAGAACCTAATTAGACTCTTCCTTGGATAATTCCTCCTGGTTCTCCAAGCATAAGCTTTTCCTCCTCAGAAAATCAGCAAAGCCTGTAGGAGACCTGGGCTGTGGCCTTGAGTCCAGTCAATCAATGCTGGTGCTTCCTATAATTTCCTCTCCTGACAATGAGCCCAGATGGAAGAGAATCATCATCATCATAAGAGGTAACTTTTACTAGGCATGATGTACTTTATATGCATCAGTTAATTTAAGCCTCTTACTTGTATGTGGATAATATTATATTTCCAGTTTATAGGCAAGGAAATAAAGACCCAGAAGGTTAATTAGCTCAAGGTTATACAACCAGTAATCATCACTCAGGATTTAAAGCTTGGTTTGCTTGCCTTGAGTCCAACTCCTAAATACCCATAACACCTTTCTAAAGTCCTGCATTATTAAATGGGACCTCACTTCAGTGGTATTCCTTTAGTGCCTAATCATGAGTGTCTCTCTCTTTAAAACTGCAGACATAACAGAACTCTTTTTCTGAATTTTCTGGGTACCATATCCTCTAAAGGCTATCAAATGCAGGAAGATGAGAGGACAATGATGACACACATGAATCCTTTCCTTGGAATACCACTCATGACAGGCTATTTTCTCATAGACTTAGGAGAGGAATACATTTACAGTACTCCACTGAGAGATGTCCTTGCCTAGAGCCACTTGGCAAATACATCAGGGTTCTTTCCTGAGTTGCTGTTTCTATTATAATTTTTTTCATGCATATGTCATACCCCAAATCAATATTCCCATGGAAGAATGGTCACTCAGATGTGCATGTGTGAGCATGGACACATATTTGAGTATATACATGTCCATCTTCTCTATACTTTTAAGTGTGCATCCTGCTAAAATCAAATGGTTTCTAAAATACAAAAAAATTATCATTTATTTGTTTTATCATTTATTGTTCTGGGACATCTGGACTGTGATACTGCCAGAGATAATTTTTCTTTCAAACAGTAAAACCTGTGTAATGTAGGTTGCTCTCAGTTGTGATGTCCTTAGACTCTGAACAGGCTGATACTGCCTGGGGCAAGAATTTTCAGGACCTATGTTGAGTGAGCTGGTATCTTAATTCTCATAGGCAGTTTTCCCCTCTGAAAGCAAATGTCTCTGTGTATTTCAACTATCAGCAGCTCCATATAAAACAGGCCAAGCATGGGGAAGGCCAATTCAAATGCTTATATGGGAGAAAGGAGAAGGTTTTGAATCTGTTTTTAACCAATGAGTTTTCTCACTTCCAGCCATACCGATCCTGGTTTTGGTTTAATTTGCTTGTGATCCCATAATGTTGGGACTTCACTAGGGAAGACATAGAGCTATCTAGCTGCAGGAGTCAAGGCAACTCAAAGAAGTCACAGGGGCTGAGAACAAATGTGTTAAAACTGCATGTAAATGAATTAATTCATGCTGATAGTAGAACAGGAATTATTTAGAAAAATAGGTGAGTTGGAGATACATGCTAATGCGGGAGGGGGAGCGGGGAGTGGTGAATACTGAGGCAATTGCTGCCCCAAATGTAGGGCAACAGAGGAACTCAAATTCTCTTGCTGGGAAGTTGTTGAAGCTTAAGAGCCAGGAAACTAACAGTAAAGAGGCAGGATTTCCTTGGCCTTCTTTTCCTAATAAATCATATCCTTTATTGTCCAGTAACTTGGAAGAGAAGAACTAGAGAGGCTTTGCCCTCCCTGAGCAGAGACTAGAAACATCTGGGAGTAGGAGGTGCCGGGAGGTCAGGAGGAGGGGGAGGGAGTGGAGCTCTAGGGAGAAGAACCCCGTGTTCTGGTCTTGTTCCAAGAGGAGCCCATTTACAATCCTCAGCTTCCGAATGTCGGGTAAGGGCTGGCCACATAGCACAGGTCCCTGTAGCCTAGTTAAAAGCTAGTTATATACTATGGTATAAATAGTTACAAAATACTGCCCTGTAGTGTTCAGAGAATTGTTTGGTTCTCTTGTCTTTCCCATGTATGTGTTTGGGGTCACTTTTCCTACTCATGCCTCTTGTTCTCTCCATCTAGGGGACATCATACCTCTGTCCAGTCTGAGAGGAGCCACTCACTGGGGCAGTCCTCTTTCTTGCAGGCTTGCTGGGAAGTCGGCTTGGAGGCCGAACAGAAGGTCTCCGGAAGCTCCAGGAAGCTACCATCAGCCATGCGCTGTTTGCAAAGAACCTCACGTTTCTGAACACCTCCACCACACGTCCTGGAACACTGGGGAGGGACGAAAGAGAAATTCAATGCAGGAAGGTAGTTTGACCACCAATTCTCACCTGAGCCTTGGCTGAGTAAAGAGTATAAAAATTAAAAACTAAAAATAAATAAATAAAATAAAATTGAAAAACAAACAAACAACAACAACAACAAAATGACTATGACAAACTAGGCATCAGGCCAAAGGACATTTCCCCCCTCTCTTTGAAATGAATTTTGTAGCAAAATCTACATACCCTTCACTCTTAATCCCAGGTATTTAGCTTGAGCATCCAGGAATGTCAGGGGCCTTGGAATCTTAGAAAATTGCTCCTGAACTATGATTTGTAGCTGCTCAAGACAACTGGTTTAAGAGGTTAGTATAACAGAGTGTTCAACATATTTACGACCCCGTGAAAATAATTTGTGCTGCTTCCAGGATGAATAAGAGCAAGCTCTCCTGCCATCAGTATCAATTTGCAGAAATTTGCAGGGAGGAGAGTTCTTTCCCTCTGAGTGTGAGCACTCACTCTGCCACACTGGGCAGGCATTGTATTTAGGGGCTCGTTTTCTGAATAACTCCTTATTTTTTTGTTGGATTGGTGATTTCTTAGGGCAGTGGGAGCCAGAGCTGCTGAAATTCAGAATGTAAGAAAAATAGCCTCCTGTCAGTGGTTTTCGGGGGACCCCAGTAAAACACATTGTTTACACATAACTTAATAGTTCTAATCCAGCTGCATGAGGTGGGAGAGGGGACCCCTGAGGCATAGACTGTTGGCCATTTCCAAATATCTATTCCCTCTGTTTCAAGAGCAAAAGAGCCCCCATCCTCAGCTGGGTGTGTGGCTTTCAGCATAGGCTATTTGGGGCCAACCTCTCTGGAAGGTAGACATGGCCATTTGACTAAATGCTTGTCCATGGGATATAAAAGATTGGCTGTAAGCACCGTCAGGGAAGTGTGTGCAAAGACAGCCTGGCACCTTTCCCTTCCCTCTCTCTTCCTTGCAGGCTGGAGTGTTCACCCAATGTCTGAAATTGCAGTTTTCTTCTTGGGTTATGATAGGCAAGATGAAAGAAGCCTGGCCTCTGACTGTGATGCTACCGCATCAGCCTTGGACTGCCTATGTTTGTGAGAAAGAAATACTTTCCACCTTACAGAAGCCATTCTTCTCTTGAGTTTTCTACCACTTCCAGTCAGATATAACCCTAGCTATTTAATATATCCACTTATCACTTCTCTGTTTGGGGGCTAGTTTACTTAAAAATAATTAGGGAGCTGGGTGCCATGGTGCATGTTTGTAATCCCAGCAGCTTGGGAGGCTGAGACAGGAGGATTGTAAGTTCAAAGCTAGCCTCAGCAACTTAGTCAGACCCTGTCTCAAAAAATAAAAAGGGCTGGGGATGTGGCTCAGTGATTAAATGCTCCTGGGTTTAATTTCTGATATATATAAAAAAAAAATCTTCTAGAGAGTCTCTTGTCTTTCACTTGCCGCCTATGTTGAGAAATTAGGCCTGGGTTAAAAAAGCCAGAGAGCATGCACTGAAGTAGTTATCCCTCCTGTTGCAGTGATTGCTAGTGTGAGGTAGGCTGTGTGTGGTCAGCTGTACTTAGAATTGCAATGGGTATTTTTGCCTACCATCAAGGCTCTAGCGGGGACAACAGTGTGCTAGTGTGTAGGCAAAACACTACTGGGGCCCACATTTCACTCTCTTACTTGGTGGTGTCAACCTTGGATGCACGTTGAAATCACCTGGGGAGATTGGGAAAGTGCTGATGTCCAGGCAAAAACCTAAACTTAACAAATCAGAAATTGTGGAAGGTGGGTCTCAAGTACTGTGTTTTCAAAAATGACTTCCTAGCTCATTCTTGCCAGATAATTCTATTGTGCAGTCAGAGCTGAGAACCATTTCTCCAAATTAATGCCCCTTTACTATCCCCAATGGAATAAAATATACATGGGAAGGAAAATCTGGGACCCAGAAGGGTCTGTTAGGATCAGTGGTTGTTTGGACCCCACCCAAGCCAATATGTCACTTGTTTACAATTGTGAATTGTTTGAGACCACAAAGCTATTGGATAATGACATTTGAAAAGCCATTAGTTTGGTCTAGCCTTTTAATTCTAGAGTCTTTCAAATGATCCAGACATATGATGAACAACTTTTTTTTTTTGTATGTATAACTTAAAAAGTTCTAAACAAAACAACCTTATTGAATCTCATAAGGGAAAAAAAATGTATTTTCTCTGGTTAAGATCACCTACCTACCACTGAAGGCTAACAAAAAAGGTGAAACCACCCTATGATGTAGATCTTATTTCTACAATAAAACAACAAAGGTTCAGAGAGATGAAGTTGCCCAACTGAGGCTATACAGGGGCTGGAACTGGTTTATTTTCATTCAGTGCAACATTCACTAAGCTCCTACTGAGCACCATGCACTGAACATAACTGGAGAACAAGTCCAAATTTGGGTTATCTCCCCTATTCTGTAACAACTCCTCTCTGCTTGCAGAACCAATGGAAGACATTTTTGCCTCTTGCCTAGGCCTGCTGAGAGTGGGCCTTAAACTCTCACCTTACTGGAGGGAGGGTGCTGTGTACTTTAAAGTCTTAGCTTCCACTCTCAAGATCATAACTGACTGCTAGCCCAGGATCCAAGTTAGGGACCTACATTCCACAATAGTTATCTACAGTTTGGTGACTGACCCTGGAAACCTGTTTTCCCTAAATCCTTTGATTTCTGAGTCGAAAGGCTATAATTGAACATAGCTCCTAAGCAATGTGTTGAAGCTAGACAATAGAGGGGAATCTATAGAGTACCTATTATTTATCACAGAGCCAAATAGTTCCTTCCAAGGACTTTTCTACTGACTTTTGCCCTTAAGAAGAAAAATCTATACTATTAGACTTTGGTTTCATTGTGGCTTATTTCAGTGACGACCTGGAATTTTCACTTATTAGAGAAACACATTTAAAAATTTGTATTTCTTATTTAAATGCAATTCAATAAAATATTAAAGAATTTCATGTTAACTCAGATTGTACCCATCTTGCTTAGAATAGTACCACATGTGAATTTAAGTTTCAACAAATATTTATAGCATTGAACTGAAGTTGGTATTTAGGAGAAATTTAAATTAGTATGGCTAAGAATTCCATTTACTTAGAATAATCCTTGTTACTATGGATAACTAAAGTTTTAAATTTAGTTTTATAGTCTTTTGCATGATTTCTTAGGTTCAACCTTCTCTTATTTCTGTCAAATTCTATGTTTTAACCAGCCAGTTATGCTGTAATTAGATTAGTTATAACCTTTTATTGTTCAGTCTTTTTCAGAATTCTTTTATAACTAGATAACTAACCATGTGGATTATTGACTCTTAAGGATGTGCCAAACTGAGGGACTGCATTCTTCACAATACTTTCCATTCTGTGAATTACTAAAATTTTTCCACAAACTTAATGTAATTTTTCAAAGCCACAATTGTCAGAAAGAAAAAAAGTCATTGTGGCAAATCAAAAATTTTAGTTGTAGGTTCTCCCCTATGCCTACTCCACATGTCCGCTTAAATGGAAGTAGTCTTTGCCATTTGTATATGTTCAAAGTGGAACTGTGGATACTTCTCCTCCAACCTCACCCCCAAATTGTTCCTTTCTCTGTCTTCCCTAATTATTTAAAGGTGCCATGTCCAGGGTTAGACTTCAGCAGTACCCTTGAGAACCCTTTTCCTCACTACCTTCCCCTAAAACCCAACTCATAAGCAAATGCTGTCAGATTTTCTACAAAACAATAAGTTTTGGCTTTGAAATACATAAGAGGTCAAGATACCATATCTCCTGTCTGGACTACTGCAAACATTTCTAGATAGCTTCCCAGTGCTGTGGTCTGAATGTTTGTGACCCCCTCCCCATTCATATATTGAAATCCTAACTCCCAAGATGATGTTATGAAGTGGGTGTGGAGGCTTTGGGGAGGTGATTAGGCCATGAGGATGATAAAGCCCTCATGGATAGAATTAGTGCTCTTATAAAGGAGGCCCAGAGAGCTGCCTTATCCCTTCCACTGTGTGAGGTCACAGGTAGAAGGTGCGATTCATGAAACAGGAAGAAGGTCCTCACCACACACAGATATGCAGGAACCCTGATCCTGGAATCCCAGCCTCCAGAACTATGAGAAATAAATTTCTGTATAAAACATTCACTCTGTGATAGTCTATTTTAGCAATACAAAACAAACTAAGATAATAATTAATCAAGTATTTCTTTTCAACTATGTCTTATCACATTCTAGAACACTCTTTTTAATTTCTGGGTTTCTAATGTGGTAGTGTGTCATGTACAACCATTTTTGGTTAATTTAACATTTAACACTTAATGTTCTATTTTTTGAGTCTTTTTCTCATCTATATGCTTAACAATCATAAATAAACAAGCATCTGGAGTGATTTAATAATCTATTTAATGCTTTTTCCTTCTCTAATATTATATTTATTCACATTTTTGACTCTTGACTAAGAACTTTTTGTGTTGATGGTGTACAGTTTTGCTTTTCTATTTCCCTGTATACTCATCATTCTGGGTTGGTTGTTTTGCAGTTGCTTCTGTCCAGCCCCTGTCACTTATCAATTTGCAGGTCTTGTGACTGCATGCTAGGGTTCCATGGTGATAATGAGGATCTTGCAGCCCTAGCTGGGAGGTGAACTGGTAAAGCTCCTGATGATAAGCTAAGGCACATCGTTATTCTGCAGTTCAGAATATACATCAGGCTTGGAAGTGAGCCACAGCAGGTTTTTAATTTTCTTTCCAACATTCTTTCAAAATAGAATAATTTCAATTTAGACATAAAAGCATGCAGGGAGTCTTCCTAGCAACTTATTTTGGGACCACATTTAGTACACTGTAATCATATTTGTTACTACCAACATTTTGGACACAAAAAAAGAAAAATTCTTCAATCAAAGCATGAATCAGATCACATAATTTCCTCATTTAAAACCCTCCAATGGTTTCCCCTTGCAT